CTGGAAAATACAGGTTACAAATTTTACTTTACTTTTATAGATAATCCATTTACATTAAATGCACATCTTATGTCTCCTAAATTTTTGGTAAGATTTATTTACCAAACTGACAAATCAGTATGAACCTGTATAATTTCAGTGATACTTCTTATACTAAAGTGTCCCACAAAAGTCCAGTAAAACATGCATGCTAATAAAATAAGACTGAGAAGTATTACAGGTCATGATTATACTTTCCACATATTAACAAAAAGGGCAGTTGGACTTAAAAATGCAACTAATATGGAAGATACATAGTAATGTTACTGAAAAATTTGTAACTATATAATGAAACCTAAATCAATGACCTCAGGTTCTAACCATAAATTACTTTTTTTCATCAATACATGTATATATATATATATATATATATATATATATATATATATATATTATATATATATATATATATATATTATATATATATAATAAATAAATAAAATCCAGAAACATGAATATATGATACAAGGATATGTAACATTATTTCTTGTGCTTGGAAAAACATATTTGTTGCTAGTATATTCTCTAAACTCAAATATTAATATCTACAATAAATATCTTTGTGTGAGTATGAGTTTAATATTTAATGTGTGAAAATAAATGTACTAGACATCAAAGGTCATATAGCATTATGGAAAAGTATTATGTTGGAAAGGGCAAGGGAGACTTAAAGATTACGATAAAATGTGTGAGATGTCAAAGGTTTAAGGGCATTATAAGAGAGTATGGTAGTAAAAAGGGAAATAGGGGAGCAAGTGAACTAGAGCAAAAATTAGTAGAAAGGGGAGGGTTAAAGATGTAGGGCAATTGAATGAATTATAGTGTATCTGTCACTGGGAAAGATATAGGAAAAATCCGGGGAGAGGGGACGGTGTTAGATGTCAAAGATTAGACGGTGTTATAGACAAGTATGCTAACGAAAAGGGAAAAAAGGGAAAAGAGGGATTGTATCAGCTACTGGGAAAGGAATAGGATAATAGGTGATAACAGTAGATATGACTGTCTAGTAGGGGATTCGATATCTGAGGGTTGAGATAAAGGATCAGGAGTAGGTGAAGTGTATCCAGGGGTTTGATAGGGTAGGTGGGGTCTGGGGAAGGGTATTGTGATAAAAGAGATTCACATGTGTATCCAGGAGGGAGTGGGAGAGATAGTGGGGAGGGATGTTTTTTTTTTTTTTTTTTTTTTTTTTTTTTTTTTTTTTTTTTTTTTTTTTTTTTTTTTTTGGGGGGGGGGTTTTTGGTTTGGTTGAGAGAAGTGAAGATATAAAAAAAATGGGGTTTTGGAGGAGGTTTTGGTTTGGGTGGTTTAGAGCAGTGTTGTCCAAACATTTTTGCCTATTTTACCCTTTACTACCATGGCTAAACAAACTGATTTATTTAGGATAATGCAAATAATATACTAATTATGAAAAGACTGCATTACAGATGTTGGTCAATAAATTCGAATTTAATACACAAATAAAAAAGATGATTTAATAACAAAATGCTTGAAAAATACTTATACAACTTAATGAGAGATGTGAGGCGTATGTGTTCCTTGTTTCATCACGTACCCTTATGATATATGTTGCGTACCCACAGGGGTACACAGACCACAGTTTGGACAACACTGGTTTAGAGGATGAGGTATGTTGGGAAGGGGTAGGGGGAATATAAGGGGGTAGAACAACTGAGTGAATTGCAGTGTATCTATAACTGGGGGAGGAAGAGGGACATTGTTCAAGGAAAACAGAGGTGGCTGTTAGAGAAGTAGGAGGAGAAGAATCCAGGGGATGAGAAAGGGGGACTGGGGAAGGTGGTGAAGTATCAGGAAGAATGTCTGGAGGGGAGGGGTCTGGAGAAGGACACATGTGATAGAGGGAATTTGTGAGAGTATTCAAGTGGGGGGTGCTTCACGAGCAGGGTGGTGTGAAGCGATGGTGCGGTAGCCTAGTTAGTGTTAAGAGCTTTGCATGCCTTCTCGCTTGCAGCTGCCAACACTGGCTATCCTAGTGCAAAAAAGGGAGCAGCACTGCATAAGCGTCCCCTGCCAATGCATAGCCTCTCCATCATCAAGACTCCTGCAGCGCCTCCTCGTGGCCTACCATGGAAACTGGGTACCTTGCAGTTCTAGGCTAAACTGTGGGGGATCTAGGAGCAGCAGAAGGCCCTAGAGGTTCAGGGTCATGGCCCACTGGTGTGTGGACAGCGCTCTGTGCCACTGTACCAACTCCTGCCCCTAGGGTGCCCTGGGATTAATGGAGGCTTGGGGAGGTGAGCCTTGCCAGTCCTCCTCCCCCCAGATAAAATCCAATCGGCAGCGTTAAGTATATTTGCAAAAGCTGGGAGGATGGGAATTGCTTCTCCCACCCAGCAAGAGAGGCGGGCTGTGGATCCCATTGGGAGGGCGACTGCCGGGACGCAGGACAGGAGCGAGAACTACTTGTCCCGCCTGTGTTCTAGCAGTCACCAGCCCGGAGTGAAGCTTATGGGGGAAAGCCTTCATGAACCCCACTGGTGGATGATGGGTCCCATAGCCTGCCGCCCGCTTTTATATGGAGCAGCGTCAGCGGGGGTGGCAGAGGTGGCGTCCACCCGGAGTGACTGCCCAAGGCTAAACCTCAGGCGGGGAGTCAGGGTGGGGGCTTGGAACATCCATTCTTTGCGTCAGGATGATCGGTTGCATCTGCTGTTGAGGGAACTGAGGAGGCTGAGAGTGGAGATGGCTACTCTCTCAAAAGTGAGAAGACCTGGCAGTGGCACGACCAGTGTAGGTGGCTACACCTACTACTGGTCAGGCCGCAGCGACGGTCACCATCTCCAGGGAGTAGCCATGGCTATCTCCAGCAGACTCCACCCCTCAGTAGCAGAGGTTATTCCAGTCGATGAGTGTATAATGGTAATGAGACTGAAGCTAGCATTTGGCTTCATGTCTCTTATTGCTGTGTACGCTCCTATCGATGTTTGTAAACTTGATGTGAAAGAGATGTTCTACACCAAACTTGCGTCTGTGTCAGACAGGTGTCCCCGGCGAGATATTCGTGTTGTCCTGGGTGACTTCAATGCGGTATCTGGCTGTGATCGAGCTGGCTATGAGATGTCTGTCAGTCCCCATGGTACTGGCAGCGAGAATAGCCTCCTTTTCCGGGACTTTGCTAGGTCCCAGAAATTGAGGATTTCTGGCTCCTGGTACCAGCGCCCAGACCCACATCGCTGGACATGGTACAGTGATGGGTAATGCAGCCAAGGAGATCGACCACATACTTGTTAGCACTCGTTGGAGGATCCTTCAGAATTGCAGGGTGTACAGGAGTGCTGAGTTCTGTGGTACTGACCATAGATTGGTTGTGGCTACCCTCCGGGTCCACTTCAAAACCCCCCAGGTCAAATGATCACCCTAGGGTGTTTCATTTGGACAGGCTGAGGGAGGGGGAGTGTGCCCGCGGGTTTGCTGAGGCAATCTCTGATCGTTTCGCAGTGCTTGGCAGTCTGACAGACCCTGTTCTTCTGTGGGATACCTTTAAGCGTGAAACGCTTGATGCAGCTCATACGATTGGTGTACGAGAGCAGAAATTCCATCTCGCAGGAGACACTGGAAGCCACAGATGCATGTCGTGCGGCTCGTCTGACAGGGGATCGGGAATTGCACCGTTCTCATGTGCGCAGAACTCGGTCCCTGTTAAGAAGGGACAAGGAACAGTTTATTAGGAGTCTTGCAGAGGAGGTAGAAGGCCATTTCTTAGTAAATGACCTTCGTCCTGCATACCAAGCCCTGAGAAAGCTGAACTCCAAGCCCTCTTCACAGGTGACAGCAGTTCGCTCAGTAAGTGGTCAGATCGTTTCAGATCCTGTTGCGGTGCGGGACGTTGGGCTGAGTATTTTGAGCAGCTGTACCAGGTTGACCCACCAACAGTTAACTTGGATGCGGGTAGTGTCGAGATCCCGCTGCCGGATCCACCTATCAGTGAGGACCCTCCCTCCCTAACTGAAGTTAGGGGGGCGATTTCCAAGCTGAAGAGTGGTAAAGCAGCTGGTATCTGCGGCATACCAGCTGAACTGTTAAAGGCTGGTGGTGAACCTATGGCACGGGGGTTACATGCTGTCCTGGCTGCCATCTGGCAGTCCGGTTCCGTTCCTCCTGACCTGTTGAGGGGTGTGGTCATCCCTCTCTGGAAGGGGAAGGGGGACCGTTGGGACTGCAGCAATCACCGAGGCATCACACTGCTCAGTATACCAGGCAAGGTTCTTGCCCACATCCTTCTGAGACGTATCAGAGACCATCTACTGAGGCACCAGAGACTGGAGCAATCCGGATTCACTCCTGGTAAGTCCACAATAGACCGTATCCTCGCGTTCGAGTCATTGTAGAGCGCCGTCGTGAGTTCGGGCGTGGGCTGCTTGCAGCCTACATCGACCTCAAGAAGGCGTTCGATACGGTGCATCGGGAGTCACTTTGGGAGATCCTGAGGCTGAGAGGAATACCAACAAGGATTATTGGACTAATAGCAAGCCTGTATACTGGTACTGAAAGTGCTGTAAAGTGTGGTGGGGGCCTGTCGAGCTTTTTCCTGTTAGTTCAGGAGTGAGGCAAGGCTGTGTCCTTGCACCAACTCTTTTCAACACTTGCATGGACTGGATACTGGGCAGAGCTACTGTTCAAAGTCATTGTGGGCAACTCTGGGCAATATCAAGGTTACAGACCTTGACTTTGCTGATGATGTTGCCATTCTATCTGAGTCTTTGGAAACCCTAGTGGCGGCTCTCGATGCATTTATTTAGCAATGAAGCGAAGCCCTTGGGTCTAGAGGTCTCCTGGACCAAGACCAATCCAGGATTTGGGGACTTGTTAGGAGAACCTGTTCAGTCGGTACGTGCTTGCGGCGAGGACATTGAAGTCACAGAGAGCTTTACATACCTTGGTAGTGTAGTTCATAACTCTGGGCTGTCAGACCATGAAGTCAGCAGACGGATTGGCCTGGC